TGCGAGGGGCGGGAGGCCGCGATCAGATCAGCGAGGGGTCTGCCTGCGCTGGGGGAGTTCCACTGAAAACCAGGCCAAGTTCACAGCTACACGTGGGCATCTGGGCTAAAGGACAGAAACTAACTCATGCCACCGAAAACAAATTCCCTGTCCTTCCTAAGACAAGGAATTAACTGTATCCTACATGGCTTGGCTGTTAGATATCCACCCAATGACAACACAAACAGTGAGTATCGCTTTAAACAAAAATCATTACATAAAATTACACACAGAATTTTAATATGGGTATTTCATACTGTCAAAATATCCGTGACTTTACATCTAATGAAAGTATTTTTCCCTCTTAGTCCATTTTCATTTAAGCAAGCTTCTCACACACACTTAAGGTAACTTTTTAAAAAAGATTTTATTAATTTATTTTTAGAGAGGGGAAGGGGCAGAAGAAGGGAGAAACATCAATGTGTGTTTGCCTCTCAGGCGCCCCCTACTGGGGACCTGGTCTGCAACCCAGGCATGTGCCCTGACTGGGAATAAAACCAGCGACACTTTGACACTTTGGTTCGCAGCCCATGCTGAATCCACTGAGCCACACCAGCCAGGGCACATGTAAGACAACTTCAGATTATGGGGGGAGGGGAATGGGTGGAGGTGGAAGAGGATATTGGAGGATAAATGGTAATGGAAAAAATACAATAAAAAATAGTGTATTAAGAAAAGGTAATTTTAACATACTGCAACACGCTCTGGAACATTCTAAGAATCTAAGAATCAAACTTAAACTCGAGACAGAGACTAAATGGGTGCTATGTTATAGGGATTAGAGTGATGTAAATATAGGCTTTGTTTTTTTAATTCTTTCAAAATTTCCTCTTATTTTTATCCCCTTCGATTCAAAAAAAGCTCAAAAACCCGTTTTTGGTTTCTGCCAGCAAGACCCTTATTTATTAGTCTGAAAAGACACTCTTTGCCTCTTTACCAAGAACAGCACTCAACAGTCTGGCCGTACTTAATAAATACAGTTTCAAATTAACAGTCCCGTCTGTCTGCCTGATCACTGCACCCACGTCAGCAGACGGGAGGGAATTCCAAGGATGCTAAGGGCTGCAGCAGAAGGCAGGCAAAGGCAAAGGGAGCCACCTGCCAACCCCCAGGAGGTGAGGTTCTACCTATGTGCACCTGTGCATTCACATTCTGAAGAGCAGCTCACCGCACGCGCCCAGCTTTTCAGGTTGCGCACCGTCGTTGCCCTGCAGCGAGACAGCTCACGCCAGCTCCGGTTTCCTTCTGTGAAGGTCTGTGTTTCACAGACACTGCCGTTCGCTTTACAGTCTGACTGCCAATGAGAGGGTTCAGGAGAGAAAGGGGAAGCCCAGTGGGCAGCACCACGCAGTCTCACTGGTCGCATCTCAGGCCACGTCCTCCCTGTCTGTGTACGTTTCAAATAGCGTTACCCTCAATCTTATGGTGCAATCCCAGTATTTCCCTGCAATTTAGATCTTATTATTCAAAAGAAGTTTCTCAAATCTGTTATTTAAAAAAAGCATCCCCAAGCCCTCATCAGTGTGGCTCAGTCAGCTGGGCGTCACCCCAGGAACAGAAAGGTCACTCCTGGTCGGGACACAGGCCTGGGTTGTGGGCTCCACCCCACTGGGGCACGGTCCACGGGTCAATGTTTCCCTCCCTCTCTTTCTCCTTCCCTTCCCCTCTCTCTAAAAGTAAGACTTTTTTTTAATGTCCCATGTTATGCAAACATCCTAGCTGGAAAAACGATTAAGGTTAAGGCACATCTTGAGACGTTTAATGCCATCTGTGAAGCCTGAACTGACTGCCTCGGCAGTCGCCCACCTGCCCCAGCACTGAGTCGCCCACACTGACAGATCTAGGAGCTCCCGTCGAGGAGAACTCTGAGCAGGTGCTGTCGCAACCGCAACGGGAAAGAGCACCAAGGAGGAAATGGAACAGGCGGCTTGAAAAGTTAATTCCCCTCCTTACAGAGGAGGCGCATCTGGGTGAGAGGGGAGGCCCCGGCCAGCCTCTGGGAGGTGTGCCTCTTCCCCCGCCCCCCCCGGCCCCGGGACCCCCAGCGGCCCTGCAGGCCACGGGGCAGTGCAGAGGGCCACCCAGGGCCGAACAGCAGCCCTGTCCAAGTGCTGCAGCAGCCATGACATTCAAGTCACGTTATGTATCTAACACCCGCAAAAGCACTTTTTATATAACAGAGATGAAAGAACAAGTTGGCCTCATTGTAGGTGTCCACATTTGTTCACTTGTTGAAATTTCAGTGTTTCCTGTCCTCTGCTTCAAACAGTATCAAACTTCCATTAAAAAATAGCTTATCCCTGGCTGGCGTAGCTCAGTGGATTGAGTGTGGGCTGCGAACCAGAGTATCGTGGTTCGATTCCCAGTCAGGGCACATGCCTGGGTTGCAGGCCAGTTCCCAGCAGGGGACTCACGAGAGGCAACCACACACTGATGTTTCTCTCCCACTCTTTCTCCTTCCCTTCCCCTCTCTCGAAAAATAAATAAATAAAATATTTTTTAAAAAATAGCTTAAAAATTAATTTTAAAAAAAAAGAAAAAATAGCTTAAAGATATACACACATAAGCAGAGTATTTCTAACTTTTTAATTAAGGTCTGTGGTCTAACAGAGGAAACTAATCAAACTATTCTAAACACAATGAAGGGAAAATGAAAGACAAAAGCCCACAAAGAAGCTAGGCTGACTCTGGCCATAAGCAATCACCGTGGAAATAAGAAAACGAGGGCCAGAAAGTCTTCTAAAATGTAAAAAAATTGTCACCTAGTCATTCCAGACTTCCCCAAAGACTTCCCAGTAAGTCTCCAAATCTGAGCTGAATATACTATTTTTTAAACTAAGTTTCAAGAATTCCACAGAATTGTCACTAGACACCCAGCAAGCCTGGAAAGTGGGGAGGGGTGCGTGACAGGACGCACGTGTCCAAGCGCCCAAGCGCCACACAGAAGGTGACCCCCAAATGCGGTTCCCACAGAGGCCCACCCGCGCGTTTCCTGAGCAGGAGTCGTGGGGGCCCTCCTGACGCCCCACAAACAGTTGTGCTGGAAAGACCAGTGCACGCCTTCCAATCATCGCCAGGCACTCCAGGCACAGGCAGCGATGGCCACGTACCACACCGTGGCCGCCGCTGCCACCTCGGCGTGGCCTGCCCTGCTCCCAGAGCACGCATGTTTCACTGGGATGCCACCCGCAGTTTAGGACCCGTCTTCATCTAAACTTGTGAACATTAAAAGTAAGTTCACACTGCTGTGCAAATTAAGGCCTCAGAATAATGTAATGTATTTCTTTTTATAGCTCCCAGAGAACCAAAATGCAATTTTGAGAATACTTCTGTCTTAACAGCACGCAGCTCCAGTTTAGATCGGGGAAGGTCAAGCCTCCTAAAAATAAGACCCCTACACATGCTGGAGCCCACCTGTCCACAGAGTGGCCAAGGGGCTGCCCCAGCCTCCGGGTCAAGCCCTGTCCAGGATGGCGGCTCGCAGCTCTCCAGCAAGGCCTTCCCTCCACTCGCCCCGCTCCCTCCTCTCAGTCGTGCTTCCACGAACAGCCCTACGGAGGCGAGCCTGACTGCGGACGGACCTCTGGGCTGGAGGGAGGGCACACGCTCACAGAGGAATGGCAAGCACAGTCCCCACAGGCTCAGAGTAACTGGCACCGGAGACCTCGCTTTCACACTGACTGCGAGGCCAGCAAATGATTCAGCAGCAGATCAGCTCACTGACCAAGGACCCCAGGAAGCGAACGCCCCCTTTCACTTGCACTGTGGGTACCCACCCACCCGGACCGAGCTCCCCGCTGCAGGAAGCCGCAGGCCACCCTCGCAGGCATCCTGGCGACCCGTCGGGAGAAAACCCAGAAGCCCTCTCCGGAATACAGCCACTTAAAATTTTAACCTGGAAACGAACTTCCAGTTCCAGTGACCACTTCCGCCGAGCAGGAGACCTTGCTGCAGAAAACGCACTGATGTGTTTCCTCAGGTAAAGGTCCGCTCTATCGGCCCAAAGGGTAGAAACGACTGGTTCCGATTGCAGTCCAGCCCAATGGCACCGACGACCCAGGGACATGTTCACAGGTGTGGCCTGAGCGCCGGCAGCACTAGTCTCGCCAGCTTCAGGTGACTGAGGGCCCTGACAGGGCTCCCACAGGCTTTCACTCTACCCTGCCTTCCAGGTTCCAATGGTCATTACAAGGCTTCAGCAAACCTGTGCCCTAATCGAGCTTTACAGGTTCGCTGATCAACGATTACACCATTTTAGGCCCTTGAAGGAATTGGAGATGGCACGCAAAGATCGGATGGATAAAGTTTTTAAACGACTTCCACGTACAGACAATTCCAACTACCCCCCAAATGTCACAGGTATCTGTTGCAATCACAAAGAAAAAATCAATTTGCTCTTGTAGAGTGTACTCAAAATAGGACTTTTAACCTTAAAGCTGCCTGGGCGGTGCTACAGTGCAGGGGACGTAGACTGGCTGTCACCTAGGAGACGCATCCAGGCTAGGGGGCCCACGGGCGGCGCGGGAAGCGGCTGGGAAAGCGCAGCGGCTGCCCCCGCAAGCCAGCGGAGCGTGTGCGGGGCCCTCGGCGCTGATTCCGAACCCCGAGCGGGGAGCGGGGGGCGGGGGCGGATATCCCAGGCAAGGCTGCAGGAAATGATATCCAGACTCGAAGGGTGGGTCTAGGAAGCAGCAGGGGCGATGGCCTGGGGCGGGGGGACGGGGGTGACGAAGGATGTAGCTCCTAGGGGCAGGATGAGGGGGCGGGACGACCGAACGCGGATGTGCGAAGGCCGAAAAGCGCAGGGAGGGACCGAGAGCCGCGAAGGGATCGCAGCGGCCAGAGAAAAACCAGGCAGCGTGTGGAAGGAAGCGTGAGGGAGGGCGGCGTGGAGGAGGCGGCAGGGTGGGGAGGAAGCCAGGCTGGCTGGGGAGCTGAGGGTCAGGCGCGCGTGCACTTACCCCACTCGAGGAACTCGGCCACGTACTTGTCGCGGCGCAGGGCCGAGTGGCTGCACTCCGTGTACAGGCAGATGAGCACGTCAAGCAGCGTCTCTACGCTCAGGGCGCTCTCGTTGCGCCAGGGCCCGTCCAGGAGCAGCTGCTCCAGCTTCTTGAGCCGCACCGTGGCCGACATGGTGCCGCGCGGCCCGCTCCTCACGCGCCCGCCTCTCACCTCCCGCTCGGCCAGTCCGTCAGGGCGAGCCCTCGGGGACCCAGCGGCCGCGAGCCTTGGCAGCACCTCGTTGCCGCCCCGTCCGCGTCGTCGCGCCCCGGACTAGGCCGACATCTTGAGCTCGGTCCCGGCGGCGCAGCGTCTGGGTCGCCGGGCCCCGCGGGTCCATGGACCGGTCTCCTCCCCTCGGCGCCGCCGCCCTCCAAGCCCGACGCGGCCCGCCCCGCCTGCTCGCCTCAGCCCCGCCCGCGGCCGCGCCCTCCTCGCCGCCACCGCTCCGTACAGCAGCGGACCCGAGCGCTGCGCGAGCCGGACCGGCGCCCCAGCTCCGACCCTGGTCCCGACCCGGCGGCGCAGCCCCGCGGCCCGCAGCCAACCAGGGCGCGGCCAGCGCGAGTGCAGCCAACCACTGCGGGGCCGGCCGTCGCCGCGCTGACCTCAGCGCGCCGCCCCGCCCCTGCGTCCCGGCTCTTGACTCCCGGCAGGATCGGACCTCGCCACTCGCCGTAGGGAGGCCGGGATTCTGGGAAGGCTGGGGGCGGGGCGAGCGGTGAGCCAGTGCGCCGCCGAGATTGCGGCGGCCGCGCCTGCGCAGAGGGTATCCGGGCGGTTCGTACAGCCCTTCAAGGACCCGCCCTCTGGGTGCGGGAGCAGACCCGACACCGGGTTTCGGTTCCCGGGGAGCATGGGGGTTGGAGCAGCTCCGGCCGTCCTGGGGCTTCGGGGCCGCCCGGCAGTCACAGCTTTGCGGCGGGATTTAACCAGGGCTCCGGGATTTAACCGGAGCGACCTTTGGAAACGTGGACCCACCTTTAACTAGAAGGACGTGAGACCTAGGCCGGGACACTGCAGGGCTGGACACTGCAGTCCAGCGCCCGGTGAATTCGCGGTGTCACGGCCACCTCCAGTTCCAGTGTCCAACTTAGGTCTCCCGCGAACGTAGATGTCTCAGAGTGGTCGTTTGGAAAGAAGCGGCCGGCTGTTTGTCCGCACCCTGGGTCTGCCCACACCCTGGGTCTGCCCACACCCTGGGTCTACCCAGCGAAGTCGCTGCTTGTACTGAGGTTGTTGGCTCATTCGGGTGGCTGGGGAGGAGGGTGACGGCAACTACCCGCACCCAAACAAACCCGTAGCATCGGGGGGCGGGGCGCGCTTCGGACTCGCGGGGAGGTCACCGACGCCATGGATGCGTGAGGGCCGCGGCGAGGGTGCAAGGCTGCAGGAACCCTGACTCGGGGAGGGGAAGGGGCTTCAGCAGGAGCAGGACGGCAGCGTGGAGCAGGTGGGGGAGCAGACAAAGGGTTGGCGGAAAACTAAAGGAGCCTGTAGCAAAACTAACCCACGGAATCGGGAACCAGAAGAATAGCTTTCTCCGTGGAGGTGTGGATGGGAAAGGGCGGGAGGGAGCTCGGAGCTACTGGAAGTTGATTTGGGTGGTGGTTGCGCAGGGGCGGGTACGGGTTAACAGTCTTAAAACTGCACTTGCGAGCGGTGCATATCACTGTTACATACTGTACCTCAATTTTTTGAAAACCAGCAAAAAACAATCTCTGGTGTTAGAGGTCAGAGTAGCAGTTTCTTGGGAGAGGGACTATGAACTGCAAGGGGCATGAGGGAGCCTTCTCGGGAGGTAGGAACCTTCTGCGTCTTGATCACACAAACAACTTGTTGCATGGGTCTGTGGATAAATAAAACAAACCGTGCTCTGAATATTTGTGCACTTTGCTGTGTGTGTAATACCTTGAAATGGGGAGACAAAAAAGAAAAGGCTGACGTCTGAACTTGTCTGGGATGGCCCCCATTTTTGTCTTTAACCCGGTGTGAGTGTAAGGATGTCCTTCATCCCCACTAGGATTGTTCATCCTCTCACCTCCGACCTAACAGGCTTGGCCTGGCCCTGCTCCGCCCTCTGCCCTGTCCTCACCCTCTTCCTGTCTGACCCCAGTCTCAGCAGCCTCCTTGCTGCCTCAGGGCCTTTGCACTTGCCAAGCCCTCCACCTCAGACCCCCCTCCCCAGCCACCCTCTTTTGGCTCAATCCAAATCCGTTTCCCTATTGCCCGTTCAAGGGCAGCCTTGCATAACGCCCTGGGCTAGATCAGACCCAGTCCTGCTGTAGTTTTCCTTACTCCTCTGTATAGCAGGTGCCTGTGAGCGTGGAAACAAAATCTTTCTGTGCCTCCGTTTCCTCAGGTATAAGAAATAGTATAATAATAGGACTGACCTCATCATTTCAGTGAGCTTCTGAGAGGACCGAATGAATTCACACCTGGAGAGCACTTTTAAAGGAGCCTGACTCAGTAAGTGTTCACATGTTGGTAGCTGGTATCATACATTAGACTTCCTATTTCAGAAACGGGGCTCTGATCAGCTCGTGAAGAATGCGGTCTCGGGTCCCCAGGCCAGCAAATCCCAGTGTTCACACATCTGTCCCGTCACTTCGGACTTCTATAACAAAGAGCCAGAGACTCTGTGGCTTATTAAAAACATGTAGCCCTGGCTGGTGTGGCTCAGTGGAGTGAACAGGCCTGTGAACCGGGAGGTCGCTGGTTTGGTTCCTGGTCAGGGCACGTGCCTGGGTTGTTGGGCTCAGGCCCCAGCTGGAGGCATGTGAGAGGCAGCCACACATCAATGTTTCTCAGAAACAACCCCCAAAAACATGTCTCACAGTTCTGGAGGCTGGAAGTCTCAGATTGGGGTGTCAGCATGGTCAGGTTTCGGGTCAGTCCTGTTTACGGAGGGCCATTGTTCTGTGTCCTCATCCTCAGGTCAAGGAAGGAGGGAACTCTGTCCTTGCAGAAGGCATGGGTCCCATTCGTGAGGGCTCCACCCTCATGACCCGATCACCTCCCAAAGGCCCTGCCTCCCAGTCACATGGGGGTGAGGATTTCAGCCTACGGGTTCAGGGGGCATGAACTTAGTCCGTAACAACATCCTCAGGGTACCCAGGCACTGGGGCCTGCTCCAAAGGATTTCTTGTCTTTGCAACAAGTGGGGCTAAGCCTGACCTTATCCCCAGCACCCTGAAATGTGCACATGCAACTTCAAACTGCCAACAGTGTCTCAGTTCAGAAATTTGAATGTCGGGGTCTGTGGACTTAAACCTTAAACCTCTGAACTGGATTTAACCTTAACTCCTCGCGAAGAGGTCCAGCCCGGCCCTTCGGGACCTGAGGTGAGCACCGGGAAAGGACTTGGCTTCTCCCTCCTTCCTTCCACAAGCCTCTCTCAGCTAGTGTGCCCTCCTCCCACCCTCCCAGTGCTGCTGCCAGCTGCCAGGCTGGAGGACAAGGTTTTGGGGAGGGCTGTGGCTTCACCTCTAGCCCAGCAGAGGGTAAGTTGACCCCTCTCTGGGGGACATGCATGGGCTCCTTGGCAGCTCCCTGCTGCTTCCGCTCTTGAGCACCTGTTGCCTTTCTGAGTAGGAATTTACCTGTTGGCTGCAGGGGACCTCTGCCCTTCTATGGGGGCAATTGGACAGGACCACGGGGCATAAGATGACCTATTCATGTGACTCACAGCTGTCTACACGACTCCGGCCTGTCCACAGGAAACGCCCTCGCAGCCCTGGTCCTGTCAAACGAGCTGGAGGTCCCAACGGGGCGGCACACTCCTGCCCCTGTCCCACGGCAGCTCGCAGGCCCTTCCTCCCCGGCCTGGGTCCGTCCGCAGCCCACTGTGCCTCCAAATAAGGGCCATGTCTTAAGCTGTCTGAGGAATTGCCGGCAAGGCAGTCCTGCTAGGCTTCAGATGAAGGGAAGCACATCCCACACGCTGAGTGCCAGCTCTACCACGTTACCAGGTCCGCTCTCTTCCCCTGACCCCTTATCCCAGGTCTGGGACGGGCCCCCAAGCACTGCCCTTGGCAAACTACATGCAGCGACCTGATGGCTCATGTGAGAGTCCACATCTGTTGTCTCTTGAAGTTCTCGTGTGGTGTTCTGGTAAATTCTACAACACCCACACTGGACAGAAGTCGCTGTTCCTTCACTGGGCAGTCCTTGTGTCTGTCCGCCTGACACCCCTCCCCCTCCCCCTACACCCTGTAGTCTCTGACCGTGGAGTCCCGGAGGAGCTGCCATGCAGGCTGGACTTGTCCCCGAGGGCCAGCTGCTCAGCTCTTCAAACCCCTGCTCAGGTGTCATTGTGCGATTGAAGCCGGACCAATCAGAGAGCTTCTTCAGGGTGTTTTACACCAAAACGAGAGAGAATTTCTTGTCTTTTCCTTTGGACCAGAGGCAGGAAAATTTTTTTTGGCAAAGGGCTTGTGTCCTGGCACCGGCTGCTTCCATCAGGGGACAGCGGGGCCTCTGACACATTGAAGTGGAGGGGGGCCCCTCCCCACGGGCCAGTTCTGGAGTCCCCGTGCTGCCTGGGACACTGGTCCCAGTCGTCAGAAGGAACTTGCTCTACACCTGGGGGCCTCCTGGGGGCCGGAGGGCTGTGTGAGGAGCCCCAGACTCCCTGTGGTACTCGGTGGCTTTTCTGTTGGGAAAAGGGAAGGAGCCCGTTGATGACAGGCCCAGAAAGGACTCGGGTCCTCTGGTCTTTGGGTCTTCCTGCCAAGGCTAAAAAAAAAAAAAAGTGTGCTGAGGAGCCAGAGGAGGAGGAGGGCCGTGGGTTGAAGACCGTGCAGGGGAGTGGGCAGCTGCAGGGGACCTTCCCTCTTGCCCACCTCCGCCCCCCCCCACCTTCTCTGAAGGTCACTTCTGTGCCCAGGTCTCAGGCTGCAGGTCGGTGCCCTGCCCGGTTGTGATTGCCCACGACCATCAGGAGCTGGTGGGACATCGTGTGCTGCGGCCGTTGACACATTCCCTGGAGGACAAGGGTGATGAGGATGAGCTCGAGGGTGGCGGCTGTGCCTCTGCCCCTCCAGGTCCTCATTCCATCCCCGCCCTGCCCCACTGCTTTGTGCCCCCAGTGGGCTGTGCCCGTGGGAGGGGGGCAGTGAGCCTGCCTGGGCCCCTCCTCTGGAGGAGCAGCTGTCCCCAGGTTCTGTCCCCTGCCCTTCTGCTGCCCCCAGAGGACCCACAGTCGGCCACAGCCCCCGGCCCTGCCAGCTTCGGGAGCTCCCCTGCCTCCCCTGCCCCAGCCCCCACCCTCCATGAACAGACCACATTTATGCTCTGCCCACTGCCCTGTGTCCTTGTGGCCCTGCCGGGGCTCTGACTCATATGCTCGCATGTGCAGTATCGTCATCACAGGGTTACTTGTGACTAAAATAATGAAAACCTAAATGTCCATCAGTAGACAAATAGATAAATAACTGTGCGTGCATAATGTGGAATTTCACACAGCCATCAAGAAATGATAGACACTTATTCATTCAACCAACCCAAAGCCTCTGGATGCCTGCTACATGTCAGCACCGTTCCAGGTGCCGAGGCACAGTGGTGACC